AGTTGAGATGAGTGATTGGATGAAGATAGATTGAAGGGTAGGAACAATGACAGAGGTGCAGGATTTCAGTATTGAGGCAAGGATTTGGTCAGGTCCAATGGTTTTGTGTGTCCTGACCCTGGTCATTGAGGAGGAACATCACCTAAAAAGTAAGGTTAAATTCTCTTTTTAAACTCATTTTCTAAAAACAGCAATTGCTCTACAGCTAAAAGGCTAGAAATTGTATAAAATGTGTGTTTCAGTGCTTCAGATTTTTCAATATGTTGCTTGGTTTGCTGGGTAAATCTGCTTCCTTTGTGTGTTGACAAATGAACTTATTTTTTAAACTGTATCTTTTTCAAGAGTACTCATCATCTTTCCTTCCTTTACTAACATCTGTCACATAACATTTTATGGACATGAGTGCATTCATTGCATTGATCTACAGTTACATTTGTCTTTACCTTCATGTGTCTCCTCTGTTACAGCTGACACTATCAGGTCAGGCACATTAGAAAAACTCTTGGTGTCTATCAGCTCTGTTTTCCATACAGGGTTATTGGAACTTTTAATTTGATGGTTAATGTTGTCTAAAAAGGATTTAAAAAAGAAAAGAAAATATTAGTGTATTGGGTTATTTTGCAATGAAAATAAGTAATTATTAACCCAGTGCTGAAGAGGATGCCAACAGTGAGTTTCGTTTATTAATTGTGTTTACACATAAATAGCTCTACAAGTCCCTTAGATGAGTTTAGTCACCAAAGGGTCAATAACTATTCCTACCTATCACACCTGTTTACCCTTTTCCTTGATTTTCAAAAATATTCTTTGTTATTTTATAGTCCTATAAATATTGTTATAGCATTATAACAATTTGATACCAAAAACTAAAAGTGGAAATCAAATGAGGTCACATAGGTCTACTAATTGCCTTCTTGGTGGCTGAGCTCCTATGAAGCCATCTATGAGTAAAAGACATTTCACAAAAGAAAAACTACAATGAACATTACATGTTCCTGGTGACATTGGGTTAAATGTTTAAGATTTTTTCTTGTAAGGAAATTAGCTGTGTTCTATGCATATCCACTTGAAAGTTGGTGTGAAGAGATGGATGGCAACAATTTGCAGTTTTAAAAGATAATATTGGTCTAATATCCTGTATGTCATTACATAGACTAAGAAACCTCCTTCACATATATTCTGGTAGTATAGATGTTGAACTGGTTCTATAGTTGACAATAAATCTACAAGAAAGTTTACAAGCTCTTTCTTGCCTGTTTATTAGTGGTGGTCTGTTGGGCTTTGCTGGAGCACCCAATAGTATCAGAAATAAGTATTTTTTTCCCTCTAGAAATTCTAGGCATGGCTTGTAATAACTGTGACATTAGGCAGCTTGTATCATTTCTATCTATGGATAACACATTTTATATTTGACAGGTTGTGATTGGAGACCCAACAAGGAATAATTAACAGCTATGGTTGTGACTGGGGTGATGGAGCCAGGCGCTACAACAAATGTAGATGGAGGTGGACACACCATCTCCTCCACCATGCTACTGGCTGAACTAGATCGCTTCCTCAGCCTAGCCCTGACTACCACGGACAAGAGGAGTCACAGCGGGAGGAGAGATGGCATTAGTGAAGGGGAGGAGCAGACCATGGCAGAGACAGCTTTGTTTTTGCTGAGGAACTTGCCCCCAGCGAGGCCAGCGGCTTTAGCATTTTTAGCTCACACACTTTCCAAGCAGGTTAGGACATACGTTCACTTACATATGCTTGCACACTCACTCATATGTATGTGGCCCCATTCAGATTCAGCTATTACTAGTTATGAATAGTGGAATGATGTCAATAACTACAGGATAAGAACACTATGGAAAGATTCCAATTTATTGATATTTACAAGATTGTTATCTGTAGGTACTGTAGGCGAGAGAAAATTCAGTTTAGTTCGGTCATAATTTTCTTGTTTCTCCATGGCCCTCCAGAAAGTATCCCTCCCATGGGATCTCCCCCCAATATCATTTAATATTTACTGACAGTTTTGTTATTTTGAATGCTATTTATGGATCCATTATTTGATGTGAAAATGTTAGGAGAATTTACAAACTTGGTACAAACTTCCTTTGCAGTTGGAAATATCTGAAGGATATTATGTATATGAAATACTATATGTAGAGTCTTTATGCTGGTTTTTAGTCAATGTCATTTATGTTTGTTTAGTGTTAACAATATAAATAAATATCAATGTTTTCAGGTGTCATCTCACATGAGAGGATTTACATCAGGCGACAGTACTCGGAAGACAGATGCTGGTGATGATGGACTCTCAGGGCAGCTGGAAGGCCTTCTTGGAGAACTTGTTGAAGCCACACCTGGTGTTTGGGGACCACTGGTTAGTCAGTGGGCAGTAGAACAGTTAGGACGCTGGTCTGTTGAATGGGCAAACACTGTTGTAGGAAGAGGAGATGCTACTTTGGAGGAAGTTGTGGCTGGCTGGTTATCCTGTGGTCCAGCTCGCACATTAGCAGCGCTTACTGTGGCATGTGTTGCTCATGACCCGGACACAGCTGTTGCTGCCCTTTTAGATGCTAGTGCTGCAAGTGGTCCTGCACTAGACTGGCTCGTAGCTCATGTAGGATGTTCTTTCCCTGCTAGAGTTATAAGCCGTGTACTGGCTTTGGGTCTTTGTAGTTTTGCGTCCTGTCATGGTCGTCCACCAGAGCATCAGTTAGCTAGTGTTAACAAGATATTAAGTCATTTGGCAGACCGTCATTTACCTGATATTCGCCGTGGGTTACATGCCATATTAACCCGTACCTTTAATGGGACAACAGATGAAGAAGTTCAGGCTTCAGTGCCATTCCTTTTGTGCCTTGCAGTTACTAGCAGATCAAGAGCAGTACTGGCTGCCCTCACATCAGGTCTAGACACACTTCTAATGCCTGGTGACCGTTTAGGGGCCTTGGCTAAGCAGGTGGGCTGGTGGGTTCCACGATACTTCAATACTCATAGCCAGTTGCAGGAGATGGTTGTACATCTCATATTGGATACTGGAGGTGCTGCTGCTCCTTCTCTTCTACGTCTCCTACTTCAGGGTGCTGCTTCCACTCCCAAATTACCTCCAACTGTAACTGCAGCAGTTAATAGTGTTTTACAGGGAGTAGTTGGTGAAATATGCATTGTAACTTACATGCGTAGGAATAGTGGTTCTGGTCGCATTCATATACCCTTCCTTGTAGGTCTTCGTGGAGGAGGCTTGGATGGGAGTGATGTAGGTATTGCAGTTGGAGGAAGAGCTGTATCTCCAGTGGCTGGTTTAGTGGAGGAAACTCTTGCATTACCAGGAACAGAAGCTGTAATTGGTCATTTAAAAAAATTAATCACTCTTGTTGTGGTACAACAAGGACCAGCAACAGCCACTACCACACTAGGTCATCTGCTACATTGCCGTACTGAAGATTCCTCCATAGGTCATCAGCAAATTTTGTCAGCTGTCATAACAGCTTTAATGGTACATCAGGCACACAAACATACAACAGAATCACCTCTTTCTACAGCTCTGGAAGCAGCATTACAGCTACAAAATGGATCCTCTGCCATCCTCACAGCCCTCAATAGTTTAGAGACTCTCTTGAGTGAAGGACACAAAGAAAGAACACACATTCATGCAACACTCACTCAAGCTTTGCTACTGAATATTCCTCATTTATCAGAACTTGTAAATCATCCCAAAGTGGGCACAGCAGCTGTTCAGGTTTTATGTCAATTACCACTTGAAAAGCCTTTACCAGTGAGCCATGTTATGTCTTTGAGCCATGCTATTGTTTTTTACTTTTTCAGTAATTTGCATGAAAAAAATGTTACAAAGAAAGCTACTGCTGTTGGAAGATGTCAGCGTGTACTGGGCCAGTTGGCCCACTGTTCCCTTGCTCAGAACTTGATCATAAGATTGTTGGTAGAAGGTGTATTCAGGCCAGAATGTGCCCACCTCTTTGGTGCTTTAAGTCATGCAAAGCTTGAGATCAAGGAAGTTACTGGAGAGAAATTGATCAATGCCAACCGCCAGTTTGATACGTGGGTGAAGGCTCCCCAATCTCATACAAGTATATTCCACATGGGAATTATAGGAAATGGTAAAATTGGTCAGAAACAACCTCTCTCACCACTACCAGTTGATGTTGTGAAGCTTCATACACAGTTACTCCTCAATACACTCAGTATCTGTTGTGCAGCTCAGGCTGGTGCTGAAGGGGCTTCTACTGTTGCTCTTCTTTTAGTTGAGTTGATATCTTCTGATATAATGTTTAATGGATTCCCATGGCCAGAAGAATACATAAAATTTACTTTTGAAAGAGATCTTGCAATCAAGAAAACATTTGAAGAGTATCCAGTAGCATGGGCTCTAATTGACATGGTAGCCAGAAATCGTGTGGCATTGAGTTACTGTTCTGTTCTTGTTCGTGCTCTGACAGCTGCTCTAACAGCTTTCTGGAACACATTCCCCCTGGCTGCAGCCAAACAAGCACCGGAAGCACTACAAGCAACTCGAAACCTGTTGGAGGTAATGGTTACAGCTCAGTTCCTACCAGGTCCATTAAAAGTGTTACCTCAGATGGTAGAAGCTTTGGCACCATATGAAGTTGTGTGCATCCTCCAGGATGTGTGGATGTATATGCGGGACCACACCCCATCTCCTGACAGATGGCGTGAACTACCATCTGGGTATCAACGTATTCCTGAACCACCCATGGCCCCAGTCTATACAGAACGTATCAAGCGCATCATACAATGTAATGTGGATACCATAGGGCATCTTATGTGTGCTATGGTAAATGCTGACCAGTAAATATTGATTATACACTGTGTGAATGTACTAGTAGGTTTAAGAAATAGAACAAAGTAAATGCAAATAAATTATTGAGAGTTTTGACCAAAACTTTTATATCCTCATAAAGTAATGAGTAATAGTATAAATATACAACATGAATATAAAGCAGGACATTGTTAATTAAAAATAATTTCCAATTTTAAAACATTTATTCTTATGTACAAAACATCAAAGAAAATCATAGCACATTACTCTTCTTGTTTTTCAGAATAAAGTTATAATTTCATATCAACCTACACTAAGCTGTTGTATATTTTAAAAGAATTCTCTTGGTCGTGACATTGTTGCTTTGAAGTTGTCACGTCTAAGGTATGGCCTAAATGGATCATCAGGGTAATGACGGGTTTTCTTCCAGTAACGGCACACCTGTTAGGCAAAAAGAAATCTTGATTTGATTTCAGCACATGTCTCTGTATCCTTCAAATAGCACTTATAAATTATAACTTTAGGTGGAATAATCCTAAGAATTCTGTGAAGCTATCAATTCTACTTCCAACAATGCTTAATGACAATGACAATAACATACAGAAATTCTTAGTACAGCATATACAACTTGTTCTTCTTTCAACTGGTGTCATGAAATCATTGAACATTAAGAAGACTTACCATTTTATCCAGCATTTGTGACTGTGTGGCATTACAAAATACGTGTGTTTTTGCTCGCAATCGCTGCTTTTGTGACTTCTTCCACATTTTTTTACTTGCTCCCTGTCTTGCTCTGATCCACATTCCACGGCCTCCCCTGCAATATAGAACAGTTTTACGAAAATGTTGAGATGGTAGTTTAATTTGCTTTAGTTTGATGCTTTCACTGACCAATACTTATTTGAAGAGGAGCATCTAGACTAGAAACCTTATATGCTCTGGCAAATAATTTTCAAAAGTCACAACTTCTGCAGTTAAATAAGTTTGTCCAAAAATGTGCAGTTTGTTGTTGCATGACTACCGTTTAGCATTATGTACCATTAGTGATGGATGATATATTATTTATATGTTGTTTCTACACTATTAATATGGGTTATCATTGATGGCACAACCTAACATGGTTCAGTTTACTTGACAATTCTATGCTTGGGCTAATCAACACTGCATGGTAAAGAGGCAATCTGACAATATTGAGCGGCCAATAAATAAAAATGGAGAATTGTGCAGTGAAAACAGAAAAGCGAGCAGCCAGGGGAGGAGGAGGAGGAGGAAATAGAGGAGGAGGAGGAGGAAATAGATGATGATGATGAGGAAATAGATGATGATGAGAGATGAGAAAAGATGATGAGAAGAATAGATGGATGATGAGGAGGAGGGAAATAGATGAGGAGGAGGAGGAAAATAGATGATGGGAGGAGAGAGAAAAAGGATGATGAGGAGGAGGAGGAAATAGATGGAGGAGGAGGAGAAATAGATGAGGAGGAGGAGAAATAGATGATGAAGGAGGAGAGGAATAGGATGAAGAGAGGGAAGGATAGATGATGAAGAGGAAATAGATAGTAGATGAGGAGAGAGGATAGATGAGAGGAGGAGGAGGAGGAAATAGATGAGAGGAGGAGGAGGAAATAGATGATATGAGGAGGAAAATGATGATGATGATAGATGAGGAGGAGAAAATAGATGATGATAGAGGAAGGAGGAGTAGATGATAGAGGAGGAGAAATAGGATAGATGATGGAGGAGGAAATAGATATGATGATGAGATAGGAGATGATGAGGAGGGAAATAGATGATGAGGAAGGAAATAGATGAGGAGGAGGAGGAAATAGATGAGGAGGAGGAAATAGATGGGAAGGAGAAGGAAATAGATGAGAGAGAGGAGGAGAGAAATAGATGGAGAGGAAGAAATAGATGAGGAGAAAGGAGGAGATGAGAGAGGAGAAATAGGAAATAGATGATGAAAGGAGGAGGAAATAATGATGATGAGGAAATAGAGGAGAGAGGAAATAAGGATGGAGGAGGAGGAGGAGAAATAGATGAGGAGGAGGATAGAGGAGAAAAGGATGAGGAGGAGGAGGAGAAATAGATGATGATGATGAAGGAGAGATGAGGAGGAAATAGATGATGATGATGAGGAGGAGGAAATAGATGATGAAGAGGAAATAGATGATGATGAGGAGGAAATAGATGATGATGATGAGGAGGAAATAGATGATGATGAGGAGGAAATAGATGATGAAGAGGAAGATAGAGGAGGAGGGAGGAGGAAATAGATGATGAGGAGAAAAGGATGATGGAGGAGGAATATAATGATGAGGAGAGAAATTGATGAGGAGAGGAGGAAATAGATGATGATTAGGATGAGGAGAGGAAATAGATAGATGATATAGGAGGAAATAGATGGATGATGAGGGAGATGAGGAGGAGGAGGAAATAGATGATGATGATGATGAGGATGAGGAAATAGATGATGAGATGAGGAATAGATGAATGAGAAAATAGATGATGGAGAAGGAGGAGATGAGGAGAGAATAGAGGAGAGATGGAAATAGATGATGAGGAAAATAGATGAGAGGAGGAAGAAAATAGATGAAGGAGGAAATAGATGATATGATGAGGAAATTGGAGGAGAAGATGAGATGAGGAGGAGGCAGGAGAGAGAATAGATGAAGGAGGAGGAAATAGGATTGGATGAGGAGGAAATAGTGAATGAGGAAAGGATGAGGAGAGGAAAAATAATGAGAGGAGAGGAGAAAAGTAGAGGAGGAGGAGAAATAGATGAGGATGGAGGAAAAATAGATGAGGAGAGAGGATAGGGAGAGGAGGAGGAATAGATGAGAGGAGGAGGAAATAGATGAGGAGGAGAGATGATGATAGATGAGGAGAGAGGAGGATGATGAGGATAGATGAGGAGAGGAGGGGAGGAGGAAAAATAGATGAGAGGAGAGGAAGATGAGAGAGAGGAGAAAAGATGAGAGAGGAGGCATTGAGGAGGAAATTAGATGAGGAGAGAATAGATGATGAGGAGAAATAGATGAAGGAGGAGGAGAAGGAGGAGGAATAGATGAGGAGGAGGAGGAAATAGATGAGGAGGAGGAAATAGATTGAGGAGGAAATAGATGAGAGGAGGAGGAAATGAAATAGATGAGAGAGGAGAATAGATGAGGAGGAGGAGATAGATGATAGATGAGATGGAGGAAATAGATGACAGGAGGAGGAGGAGAGAATAGATGAGAGGAGGAGGAAATAGATATATGATGAGAAGAATAGATGATATGAGGAAAATAATGAGGAAATAGATGATGATGAAGAAATAGATGATGATGATGAGAGGATGAATAGATGATGATTGAAATGAGGAGGTAAAATAGATTTGATGATGAGGAGGATAGATGAGGATAGGAGGAAATAGATGAGAGAGGAAGGAGAATAAGATGAGGAGGAGGAGGAGGAAATAGATGAGGAGGAGAGGAGAAATAGATGAGGAGAAATAGATGATGATGATGAGGAAGGAAATAATATGAGGAGGAAATAGATGATGACGTGATGATGATGAGAGGAAATAGATGAGGAGGAGGAGGAAATAGATGAAGATTGATGAAAATAATGAGGAGGAGGAGGAATAGATGAGGAAGGAGGAAATAGATGATGATGAGAGAAGGAGGAGAAATAGATGATGATGATGATCGAGAAATAGATAGATGAGAGGAGGAGGAAATAATGATGTATGAGGAGGAGGGAGAGAGGAAATAGATGAGGAGGAGGAGAGAGGGAAATGAGAGGGAGGAGGAGGAGAGAAATAGATTGAGAAGGAATCGGTAGAGAGGATGATGAAATGATGAGGAAATGAGGAGGAAATAGATGAGGAGGAGGAAATAGATGAGGAGAGGAGGGAGGAAAATAGATGAGAGGAGGAGAGGAGAGGAAATAGATGATGAGGAGGAAATAGATGAGGAGGAGGAGGAGAAATAGATGATAGGAGGAGGAGGAATAGGATGAAATAGATGGCGGAAATAATGAGGAGAGAGGAAATAGATGTGATGATGAGGAGGAAATAGATGATGATGATGAGGGAAATAATGAGGAGGAAATAATGATTGATGATGAGGAAATAGGTATGAGAGGATGAATAGTATGCAGGAGAGAATAGAGTGAGGAGAAGGAAATAGATGAAGGAGGAGGAGGAGAAATAATGAGAGATGAGGAGAATAGATTGGATGAGATGAAATTGAGAGGAGGGAGGATAAATAGGATGGAGAGGAGGAAAATGGGAGGAGGGAAAATAAGAGAAATAGATGAGGAGGAGGAGGGAAATAGATGTGCAGGAGGAAATAGCATGAGGAAGGAGGAGGAAAATGAGAGAGGAGGAGGAGGAAATATAGGAGAGAGAGAAATAGATGAGAGGAAGGAAATAGAGATGAGGAAATTGAGATGAGGAGGAGAGGAGGAAATAGATGAGGGGAGAGGAGGAAATAGATGAGGAGGAGAAAATAGATGAGGAGGAGGAGGAGGAAATAGATGATGAAGAAATAGATGAGGAGGAGGAGGAGGAAATATAGATGAGGAGGAGGAAATAGATATGAGAGGGAAATTAGGATGATGAGGATGAGGAGGATGATTATGAGGAGGAATAGATGAGGAGAAATAGATGGATGATGAGGAAATAGATGAGGAGGAAAATAGATGAGAGGAATAGATGAGAGGAGGATAATAGGATGATAGGAGGAAATAGTAGATGAGAGAAATAGAGGAAAAATAGATGAGGAGGAGATGATGAAATAGATGAGAGGAGAAGAGGAGAGAGGAGAGGAGGAGAGGGAGGAGGAGGAGGAGAAATGATGAGGAGAGAGGAGAGGAGAAGGAGAAATAGATGAGGAGGAGGGGAGGAGGAGAGATGATGAGAGAGAAATAGAATGAGGAGGAGTAGAGAAAATAGATGAGAGGAGAGGAAATAGATGAGAGGAGGAGGGAGAGAGGAGGAAATAGATGAGGAGGAGGAGGAGGAAATAGATGAGGAGAGGAGGAATAGATGATGAGAGAGGAAATAATTAGATATGATAGAGGAGGAGGAAATAAATGAGGAGGAGGAGAAATAGATGAGGAGGAGAAAAGATAGGAGAATGAATGATGAGGAGGAGAGAGAAAATAGATAGAGATGGAGGAGAGAGAAATAGGATGAGGAGGAGAAAATTGAGGAGAGAGGAAATAGATATGAGAGAGGAAAAGATGAGGAGGAGAAATAGATGAGGAGGAGGAAAATAGATGAGATGATATGAGAGAGGAAAATAGATGAGGAGGAATAGATGAGGAGGAGAGAGGAGAGGAGGAGAGAAATAGATGAGGAGGAGGAGGGGAGGAGGAGGAAGAAATAGAATGATAGAGGAAAATAGATGATGATGATGAGATAGATGAGAGGAAGGAGGAAATAGATAGGAGAGGAAGGAAATAGATGAGGAGTGAGGAGAGGAGGAGGATAGATGAGGAGGAGAGAGAGGAGGAGGATAGATGATGATGATGAGGAGGAAAGGAATAGATGATTGATGAGGAATAATGATATGATGATGATGATGATTGAGAGAAACTAGATGATGATGCATGAGGAAACAGATAATAATGATGAGGAGGAAGAAACAGAGGAGGAGAGGAGACAGAAGAAATAGAGAGGAGGAGAAGAAAGAGGAGGAGGAGGAGGAGTAAGAAGAGGAGGGAAGAGGAGAGAGAGGAGGGGAAAGAAGAGGAGAGAGAAGAAGAGAGGGGAAGAGGAGGAGGAGGAGGAGGAGGAGGAGGAGGAGGAGGAGGAGGAGGAGAAGGAGGAGAGGAGAGGAGGAAGAGGAGGAGGAGGAAGAGGAGGAAGAAGAAGAAGGAGGAAGAAGAGGAGAAGAGAGGAGGAGAGGAGAAGAGAGAGAGAGAAGAAGAGGAGGAGAGGAGGAGAAGAGAGGAGGAGGAGAAGAAGAGAGGAGAGAAGAAGAGAGAGAGAGAGAGAGAAGAAGAAAAGGAGGAAGAGAAGAGAGTAGGCAGAAGTTGAAGCAGAAAAGGAAGGGAGAAGATGAAGAGAAGGAAGAAGATTGAAAGGTGGATGAGGAGGAAGAAAAGGACTATGGAGAGGAAGAGGAATAGGGAAAAATAAGAACTTACCAATCAAGTCTTTTAAAACGTTTCAAAACCGCTTGCACAGTCTTGCGCTTGCCTTTCTGCAATGACCATTTTACAACACTCCGTGTCTGAGAAGCTGATGTGGCTGGTGTGGGCACGAGGAGGCTGGGAACTCCTGCAGGTGCCACAGGTTTTGTGGCAAAAAGACTGAAACATTACAGAATAATATTAATTACTCTCAAGGTAAAAAACTATCAGTGAAAAATATCATCAAAGAAATATATGGAAAAGTAGTTAAGAAGTTAGAATATAAAGCTGAATGCTGCAAATATGGCAAACTAACTGGATTACATAATAAAATTTACCTTGATATCTTCTTTGAAATCAATCCATTTCTCAAGTGCACTGTGTGAAGCTGGTTTGCCTGACACAATAATGGTGGATTTAATCTAATGCAGGGCAGAGATGATTTACACTTATTTGTTGCCACTAATCTCATATTTGTGAAGGCTGCTCTGCTGCATGCTGCAGACAGCTGAGAGACTGACCGCAGCATCTGTAAGGTAAAGGGGGGGAAAATTTGGTGCCTTAGTGTCGTTATTCACCCTATTTATGTCAATACATTTGATCTTGCCTCTTTCTTTGCCACTGGACTGATCAATTGTCTTTTTTTTAGAGCTACAGGGAAAAAAAGAAAGAAAGAAAGAAAGAAAAAAAGTATTTTCAGAGATGCAAGAAAACCAAGAACAAAAAAATATTAGTTACACTCGAATATTCTTTGGGAAAATATATAGAAATGGCACAGAACAGTACCTTTTTGTAACTCAAGTTTTACAACTATGTGCTTGACATCACTTTTGGTCTGATAATGATGAGTTAACTCATTTTGACACTCTTTTTTATCTACCTTTTTCTGAATTGATGGATAAAAAGATCTCTTCTAATGCTTCATTTTCATTGTACTATAAAAGGGTAAGCAAGGTTGACAAGTGTGGCACTTTCATGATCTTTGGTCCATTGAAACAAGTGCAGAAGCACTTAGAGCCATCAAGTTCCTTGATAATAACTGAATCAAATATTCAGAATAAATGAATATTTTTCCAAATTCCAACTATGTACCTTAACCTACAATATAAAGATTGATCCTTATAATCTTGAGCACTCAATAATGAATATCAACCAAACCAACTTAGGGCAAAGAAAATGACTTAGGAATGAACAAGATTTCAGAACTGGAACTGATAAGTATAACCTCAATAGGCTTCGAAAAGTGTTTTTCCTAATAGTTGAATTGGATGTGTTCTATCTAAATACACCAGGCTGCCAGAGCCTCCATGTTCTGTAGTCCAACAAAGACCTTCACCTATTAAGTCCTTTTACCTTTATTTATATATTATAAAAAAAAAAGTCTGGTGGAGGTATATTGGCCTTTGCCAGAGCGCCACTTGAGGCGGAGGCTACAGGAATTAGTGGTAAACGGACGAACGTAATAGTAAGATTTATGTGGAGTGTAGAATTGGCTCTGTTTTCGCTGTTGAGGTAATTGTTTATATCCATTTCCTCAATTACAACATTAGACAACTATACCGGAGAACAACTCCACACGTAATGTTTCTTTCCACTTTCAAGAAACTTTTAACATTTATTTTCCAATATATTCCTTCTTTTCACCTGAAACTACAATCAGACGGTGTATTTCTTCTCTTTCATTGACAAATTCCCTTTAAAAAGCCAAACTTACCCTTATTTTTCTCCTTGAGTTACGTGTGTTTACCAGCAGCCGTCTGCACTGTAGGTAATTGCAGTACAGGCTTATATATTTTTTCGATTGCAACAATGTACTAAAATTGTAACGATTATTATTATCATCTGTATCCACTGACAAAAAGGCCATGAAAGTTTTAATGCTTTAATATAAAAAACTCCACCTTTGCCGTTGATTAGAGTAAGGGAAACGAGCGCAAAGAAAACCCCAATGACAACAAACGGGCGAGACTGAAGGCGACTCGCGAGGCTCTGAGTCCGGAGAAAGCTTTCCTTTTTCGATTTTCTTCGGCGTCGCAACTGCCGCTACCTACTCATCGAGGGAGGAATACTGTATGAGGCCTTTCGAACCCGCTTTCAAGAGAAGAAGACGTTCCCGTGACGCGAGAGGGCCGTGGTATTATGGCCTCACAAGCTAATAGTAGAGGTAAGTGACGAACATTTCTTTGGGAATTGGGAGAATGACATTGGGAAGCTGGGAAGTAAGGGAATTCGGTGAATGTCTGGGAGATGCAGAGTGTCATGCAAGAGTTATCATGGAAGTATATTGGCCTCGTTCTGTGTTCAAGTAATTCAAAATTGAAAACGTACGGATAGGTGTGAAAGGCCTACAATCTCTCCAGGCTGATAGTGATAGTGGCAAGATAGAGCTGAAACTCTGGGGCACCGAGTGGACTTAGGCTGTGTCGACAACTAAGACTTTTTGTTCTCTACAAGAATATCCCGATCCATTTGTCCTAGCACAGTGTGTGAAGATTAACCATAAAAATTCCCCTTAAGTTGGGATAGTATAACACATAACTGGTTGTAACATTCGGAATAGAATATATTTTAATTGCAAAACCGACTCATTTAATTTCATTGATGATATAACAAAATGTCAGTGTTATATAGGAACATGTATCATTGAGACTGGAATTAGAAAAATAAACACTCATGGCAGCTGAGGCCAAAGTTACCTAGTTGTCAGCATTAGGGAAGCAGTCATTGTGGTGTGGGTGATGCTCACTCATTTGCTGTACGTACGAGATTTCAATAAAGATCAAAAGCGGGAATAGATAAGGTTACTTGCGTTTCTAAGTTGGTGTTTTAAGAATTATGATTTCTCACCACTGACAGATAGCAATGCTCAGCGTAAAATTCTAGAAGATTTGCAGTTGAAGAAGCAGATGATATTAAAACAAGGTGTGTCCCAAGCACTGAGTGCCCCAGCTACATCTCAGCAACCCACTGTAAGTAATTATGAGTATCTGTTGCAGTTGAGGTAAAAGCATTAGGACTTAATTAATGTACAGGAATCCCCAGATAGTATGAAAATAGTCCATGATGAATAAAAAATAAATGCTTTCCATGTTATAATTAAGGGTATGTACCGTATAGCTGATTGCACACAGTTAACATTTTATTACCAAACTCATTTCAGGAATTTTCCTTGTGCTCCTCAACGTCTTGGTAAGACGTATCAAATTAAATGAATGAAGTCCACATCATCTCATTATTAAGATGATGATGATGATGTGGTGGTCATGTCATTATTAATTAATAATGATAATAATAATAATAGTAATAACAATATTACTTCTACTACTAGTGAAAATTTCACAATCTATGTATATTATAAATATGTCTGGAGTATCATTATTTTTTCTCAACAGGGATGGTCCTCAGGTACAGACGGACACATTGCAGGTAACAGTCAACGATCCAGTTTACTTCAGGCAACATCATCAAGCTTTGGGTATTTTATTCCTCAAGACTCCTCTTTTGGAAATTTCATCTTGCCTGTCCTACCACGGCTCGAACCAAAGTGAAAGATTTATTGTGTGTGTTATGAGGAAGAAATGACGCTCATTTGGAAAGCATTTTTGTAATAATAGACATATCCTTACTATAGTGTAACATAATTTGCTTGTCAAAATGATGAAACTGAAGGAGCTAGAATCTTGGCTCCAAGACATTACTGGGTTTGAAAATCCAAAGGTAAAACTTGAGCAGTATGAAACACCAGCTCATATTGCTGCACGGATGGTACACACGATGGAATCCTCATTTGGAGATTTGCAGGGGAAAGTTGTAGCTGATCTGGGATGTGGGTGTGGAATGCTAGCAATTGGAACAGTCATGATGGGTGCCACAGTCGCTTTTGGGTAGGTAGTATTTGTGATATTGTGAATTGCATTTAGTAAGATTCTGTATGATGACTTGCTTGATAACCTGATATATAGTTGGTTTAGTAAAACAAAATAACAAATGAAAAGCAGATTTATGCTAAATTTTGTAATTTGCTTCGGGTAACCTAAATCAGCCTGAGTGGCATTAATTAATTGATACTGTTATTTAGAATTAGAAATAAAGTAATATATACTGTTTGAAAATCTTGTTGATTGTTGATGGAATCAAAAGTTTGAATTACAGTTGGTAAGACGGTGGAATTTTACATCATCATTTGCAAAATTGTGGTTCTTAAAGATTTTAAAAATTTTACAGATTTGACATTGATGGCGAAGCTCTTCAGATCTGCCAAGAAAATCTGGAGGAATTAGAAGTCCCAGCCATTGAGCTGATACAAACAGATGTCAAGTTATTGGGAGGAGATCAATCAAAATTCCACAAGTTTTTTGACACGGTTGTCCTGAACCCTCCCTTTGGTACCAAACACAATCATGGTTCAGACATGGAATTCCTCAAAGTGGCTTTAGATATCTCCAAAACAGCAGTGTACAGCCTGCATAAGACTGCCACAAGAAGCCATATAGTAAAGAAAGCAGCTGACTGGGGTGTAAAGATGAAGGTTTTGGCTCAACTACGATATGATCTCCCAAGTACCTACAAGTTCCACAAGAAGAAGTCAATTGATATTGAAGTTGATTTTATTAGGTTTTCCCATAAGTAGATCTGATGTTGACCTTGGGTACGTATGTTTGCAAAGTTAAATGAAATCAAGGACTGAGGTAATTCTGGTTGTTATTGTATTGGTAATTATATGCATTTGAATTTTGTTTTACTCTTTTGGAGTTTAAACCACCACCAATTCTAGTTTTTGTATGTAATATATGATAAAGAAAGAAGATTATATTTTTAAAGGACAACTTATTAGATTTAAAAGATTCTGCTAAGAAAGATATTTCATGAAGTGGACTGTACTGACATTACACAAACTTGAATGAAATTTTTGAACTATAACTGGTTGAAAGAGGTATAAGACCCTTGGTTCCAATTTAATGGACTGAAAATGAACTACTTACGGAGATTTATAAAGAAACTAAGCTTCCTTATTATAATTTGTAAAGATATGCAACATTGTGTTTTTAACTTTTATATTTTAAAGTGTAGTAAAATTTGTTAAAGTTTAATAAGACATTTTATTCTTTACAAAAGCACATACAAAGCAACATATATTGTGAAACAAATGAAAGAAACAAGACTATAATTAATAATAAGTGATTGATAGATATTACTCGTAATAATGCCATACAACAGTTATCAACCAACAGAGGAATGCTTTTTTAATAAAAACAATGGAGACAGACAATATGTACCATGTCCCATCTTTTAGTAGCAATACATCATCAGTATATGGTTCAGAACTAAAAAAAAAAAGTATTAAATCTTTGAATGCGAATATCTCAAAAATATGATTTCTCATGCATATTATTCTGGCCCAAACAGTCGTCTTTTCACTCAAGAATGTAATCTTTGCTAGCTTGCATAGTTTAAACATCAGAAAGTAAGGAGAAAGAAAGAGAGAAAAGGTAGACAATTTGGAGAACCCAGCAAAGGTAACTGGACGCAAAACTGGAACTTGTAATGAGTAAAATACATTTTCTTATCATGTGTCATAACTTAAAGGATAAAATGAGAATGTTGGTACTTTTATCTTGAGAGACTTACAGGTTCATTGGTTTCTGAAAGGATTATATTTTTTTGGTTTCTGTTTCTAATTGCCCTACAATTTAGGGCAACTAGATATAGTAATTCATACTGAATATCATTCTTTTATTCTATATCTTAACTGAAGTTCAAATTACTTGAATAAACTCCATTTCTCCAAGTATCTTCTCGAATGAAAACATGACAAAAACATTTAAATGACAGATATATTCTTATTTAATGTCTTTGATTAAACAATTACAATATTAAAAATCATAATAGTAATTAATATAACAAAAATGAGAATGAGTGATAATAGATTACCACTAATAGAGTCATTGCTGCAGGTTCAAGTTGAAAGAAAGAAAGAAAAAAACGCACCCACGCACGCATACAAAGTTTTGTATAATAATAATTTCCCAATAGTGGTCAGCATTTTATACCAATGTCATAATTATAGATCTTGTTAAATGTTGCACCAAGGTGAGATACATAACAAAAGTAGAATTTACAGTACTTAATGTAAATTTTGGAAGACATCTCATTTTTTCTCTCTCTAAAGGTTTCTACAATTAAAATATTTATTAGTATTTGGATGAAAATAGCACTAAAGGTGACTAAATCTAATATTATATTATTTGGAGTATTACAAATACACAAGGTTCCATAATTTTCAGGGATATCTGCGTTTAAAGACTGAAGTACATGCAGTAAGTTTCTATTGTGCTCAAGATCATTTTATAAAAAGCATATGGTACATTATAACAACAATTTACATTTAACGTTGGTATGGCATAGCAGAGAAGCTTTATCTTTACTACATCAGTAAAACAAAACACTTCTACTCTTGACATTTGTTGTATAAAAGTAAGCCATGCAGATTTTTTTTTCTGTCCCTTCTAGTAATTACTGTATGACACATGCTTTAGTTACAGATATGATAGTTTTGTAAAGGGGAACCGCATTGTTGTGAATGGC